TTCAAGCAAGAACAACCCTTTACAGTAATGAATGAAAAATAATGCTTTCAAGACAGTTGCATACTTTTTTACAATGCAACCAATTTGCGAAAAGTCCTGTAGTAAAGGACGATAAGCATTCAGTAACCTTCAAGAAGATCCTCTTGTACGCAAAATACAGCTTGCTATCTGCCCACCAATTCGTCCCTAAACTACTCTTTGCTGCTCGTCACAAATTGCCCGGAGTTAGAAAAATAAACCCCACTTACGCGTCAAAGAGTTCAACTGGATACTCCATCACCAAAGCACCACCACGTTATGACAAACACATCTTCATAAGTACAGACAGTGCCGAAACATCAAATCTCCGGCAAAAAAACGCCAAGAGCAGTTTAACTGTGAGGCCTGTCTATCCCGCTATGTCACTGCCAACAAAAAAGCAGCAATGAACTACCTGCAGTACTTTAACAGCAACAAACATTGCGATTACACAAATGTCATAAACAAATCCGCAGTGCTTTTTTAAGTAATCCCTTCGTTCCCAAACAATAATAAAATAAGTGTTTAACCAATATGCACTGAGTCTCAAGCCCATACTCTCTATAACACCACTCGCAAATTATATGAACCTACCTGCCAACGACTTTTCTAAATAATATCTTTTTTCATCAATAAATCCTCTTCCTTCCCCAAAAACTAAGTCCAACTTCTTCCCTTCTAAACTTTACGGATATGATCCTCCCAAATGACCTTTGAAACGAAAGAATGTTAACTTCTTCACCGCCACCTTGCTGTAGTTCGGCAACTCACTACTATTCTCTGCCCGACCTTCAAGAAGCTAGAATATTACTTAGTACGTATTACTGACTCAACAGCTAACCGCAGAGTAATGAAGAAAAACTGTTAAAATTTGCGATTCTAGAAAGGAATAGTCAATTTTCCAACCCAATAAGAATTTACTGAGATCCAACCCGAATATACCGAAAAACACTACGGGCAACCCAACTTCAGCCAACAAAAGCCCAAAATATATACAGCCATTGAAGACATAACTTTATACTAAACGTTTATCTACAGGTTACTTCTAAGAAAAAAAGGAATTTTCATAAAGCTCCTTGATTTTTTGACTCAATAAACCCCAGAGACTAAATTTTGTGGAAA